ACTTTCTGTGACGTTGCCCAAAACTCTGCGGCGCGGTTGTCACACACACACTCACAGGCACAAAAACCCCCACGATCTTGGCGGAGTGAGCCGAGAAGTTTGTTGCGTGAGCAAGCGGCTGCTGTCCGATCTGTGTGCGGGTGATTTATATCAGCGCAAAGGGTCGCACGCAACTCCCCGGGCCGCCCGCCAGCTGATGTTACCCCCACCGGTAATTTCATCGTCACCCACCCGGGCATTAGAGGAAGGGAGGAGAGTATTTGACTTAATCGCGAGCATCCTCGGCTATTTTTTCTACAGTTTTTTTTTTACCAGGTAAGGCCCACTGAGCTATACGGCTTTTTTTTTTTCAAAAGAAACCTGGCCACAAGCTTAATGAAGTGGCTTATCGCGTGGAAATTTATAGCAGCCAAATGCTCTAAAACTCATGTTGATTCAAAATGTGGAGGGAAAACCCGGAGAAAAATCCACGCGACCACAAGAAGAGAGGCACGCAAACACCAAATATACAGCAGCAGGCGTCAATGTCGGGATCGAGCCCACGACCTCCTGCATACCAGGCGAGGTAGTTAACATCTCATCAGGGTCGGGATCGAGCCCACGACCTCCTGCATACCAGGCGAGGTAGTTAACATCTCATCAGGGTCGGGATCGAGCCCACGACCTCCTGCATATCAGGCGAGGGAAATAACATCTTGCCACCTTGCCTTGCAGGTCGATGGGTCGAATCGCTCTTCTTTTACGAGCCGTTGCCTGCGTTGTGGCTCGTGGCGAACGCGTCAACGTGTAAAGCGGCTTAGAGGGTCCATGACGCGACGAGTTGTTATCACGAGTCGCGTCGACTCGTGATGACCGACTGAGCCCTCGGTTTGCCCGATTGCTGGGTTTGCCCGCTTGCTGGGTTTGCCAACTTGCTGGGTTTGCCAACTTGCTGGGTTTGTCCACTTGCTGGGTTTGCCCACTTGCTGGGTTTGTCAACTTACTGGGTTTGCCCGCTTGCTGGGTTTGTCAACTTGCTGGGTTTGCCAACTTGCTGGGTTTGCCAACTTGCTGGGTTTGTCCACTTGCTGGGTTTGCCCACTTGCTGGGTTTGTCCGCTTGCTGGGTTTGCCCACTTGCTGGGTTTGTCAACTTGCTGGGTTTGCCCGCTTGCTGGGTTTGTCAACTTGCTGGGTTTGTCCGCTTGCTGGGTTTGTCAACTTACTGGGTTTGCCAACTTGCTGGGTTTGTCAACTTACTGGGTTTGCCCGCTTGCTGGGTTTGCCCACTTGCTGGGTTTGTCCGCTGCTGGGTTTGTCAACTTGCTGGGTTTGTCCGCTTGCTGGGTTTGTCAACTTGCTGGGTTTGTCAACTTACTGGGTTTGCCCGCTTGCTGGGTTTGCCCACTTGCTGGGTTTGTCACTTGCTGGGTTTGTCAACTTGCTGGGTTTGTCCGCTTGCTGGGTTTGTCCGCTTGCTGGGTTTGTCAACTTGCTGGGTTTGCCCACTTGCTGGGTTTGTCCGCTTGCTGGTTTGTCAACTTGCTGGGTTTGCCCGCTTGCTGGGTTTGTCAACTTGCTGGGTTTGTCCGCTTGCTGGGTTTGTCAACTTGCTGGGTTTGCCGCTTGCTGGGTTTGTCCGCTTGCTGGGTTTGCCCACTTGCTGGGTTTGTCAACTTGCTGGGTTTGCCCGCTTGCTGGGTTGTCACTTACTGGGTTTGCCCACTTGCTGGTTTGTACTTGCT